TGAGAAACTAGAGACATTTATAGCTAAATGGATGCACATTGAGGCGATACTCTTAAGTGAAATAAATAGGACACACACGTGTAAATACTGAATAGTTTCTCTAGTGTGAGAAACTGAAAGTGTAAATAAGGACTAAAAGGTATAAGAGATAATGTGAGATAGGAAGAAAAGGGGCAAAGGGGAAGGGGAAGTGGGAGGGGTAGAGGAAAGGAAAGAAGGGAATGGAATTAACATGAGAAAATGGAAAAATGGAAACAAAGTCTTTGTAAATAGGGAGGGATGGAGGGGGTGAAGGGAGGACAGGGAATGGGGAAGAAATAAGAACCACGGTACATCATGTACAGGTACAAGATCACAATGATAAATGTAACTGTATTGTACACCTAAAATGTACCAATAAACGTAATGGAAACAAACAAACAAAAAACAAAACAACCAAACAACTTCCTCTTCCTGTCTTTAACTCTCAGAGAAGTATCGTAGAGGGATCCACAGTAGGACGTGTGTTATGTGTCGGGCTGAGTTCACAGTGATTATCATTTCCCAATTTCTCCACATTACCTTCCTGTTCTGCGATTCATTTTAAGGACTGAAGACAATTGCTTTATTTCTACATTCAAGCCTTTTCTATTGTGCATTTCCATATAAAGGAATTTACCAACCAGTTAAAAGGGGGATGCCTTCCCACACTGTACTCTCCGTTCTTCAGACCCCGTTGGCTCAGAGGCACCACAGCCAGTTAATTAAAGGCCTCGGGCCACTGCGAAAGCTCTAGTGCTCATTGCCTTTGCCTCTCTGCATCTTCTGAGAACTCTGAGAACGGAAAGGCTTTGCAGCTTCCTGTGCCCATGCGAGTGCCCTCAGCGTCCTGTCTGTGCGTCAGCCCGCCCCCCGCCCCGCCCCGCTCCCCCGGAACAGGCCTGGAGGCCTCGCTCACCTTGGGCGCTGCAGTAGCTGACGCTCTGGGGATGGAAGTCTGCGGAGCAGCTGCTTGGCAGTGCAGCTTCTCCGGCAGCGGCCCGGGCAGGTCCTCGGGGGTCTCCGCTGGCTGCACAGCAGCGAGGCTCCTTGAGCTCCGCTTCGCGCGGCCATTCCGCTCCGCAGAGGGCCCGGGCTCCCGCCCCTTCCCCGGAGCTCCTTCCGCTGGCCGGGCGCTCGCGTGTCCGCCTGCTGTGGCCGTGGGCTGGCCTCGGACGGCGGCGTGGACACCCGCAGCGCTGGGCTGGTCGAGGGGTACAGCCTCCCGCGTGTTGCCAAAGCAAGCAAGCAGCGCCGAGCAGGGGAAGGGGTGCATCCTTCCAGGCGGGACTTCAGGCTCTGGGTGCGCCTGGCTCTCCACGTGGACACGACCCGCAGCGACACATGGCAAAATCCCGGGGACAGGGGACTTGGCAGAGAATTCCGGGCCGTGATTATCGCTGCGCCCGAAGAGGACTCGCGAGCAGCTCCCCGACTCGGACGCGGGGAGAGGCAGGGCCGCCCGCCCTGGGCCCCGCGGCACCCAGGCCCCCTTTCGGAAGCGTCCGAGCGGGTGACCTGGCGCTCTTGCTTCCTGGATGCTGTCAGTGGCCGGGAAGGCTGCTTGTGAGCCTGCGTCTGGCTCCGGTTACAGCCCCCAGGTAGGGCAGAGCTCAGCGTAAGGGAGTGCGAGTCAACAGGCAGCTGCCTCGGGTTACCTTGAAGGCAGAAAGATAGTGCAGCCCGACAGCGTCCCCACAGAGCGTCAGCCTGTGTATCAGTAACATCACAACAGCAGCAAGACCTTCTTCAGTTACCCCTTCAAATATTTATTCCCCCAAACAAAACAAAAACCACCCAGTTATCTATCCCAAATGAAGACCCCCCCGAAAGGGGCCACGACCCTAGCAGCTGCTTCGTTATTAAACTAGGAGGTGGATGTGGACCCACCCAGAGAAATCCGCGAGCGAGTCTGATGTCACCAGGACGAGTCAGTCCGGGTTTTTCCTGAACCTTGGTCACACACGCTTCCTGGTTTCTGGGTCTATACTAGGTCTGGTAATTATAAAGAAGTCTTTATTCATTTTTTTTTTTACTACTTCGGCTAAATTCTTGATTGATTTTTAGTAATACCCCCGCAAAAGAAGAATCTGCATTAACAATGAACATTACATATGACATTATTATGTGTGACAGTATAATAAATGTGTGAAAGAGTATTTTGTTTATCTACTATACGTATTTCCTAATTTTAGAAAGGGAACCCTGTTAAACATAGACCTTTTATTTCTCAACACATTAATACATGAATGGTGTAAGAAATAATAGATTATAATAATATTCTAAGACAACTTAAAATTGAGACTTTTCCTTAGCCAAGCATTGCTGGGAATGTTAGAGAAGCATAGTACTCTAATGGTTTTACCATTAACAGTGACTTCTGGGTTAATGTTTCAGGGTATATTACCACTCTAATTTATTTGTTTGCTCTCTCTTTTAATTTAATGTCAAGATGTGTTCTTGAATCCAGGCAGGAGTGGGTATTATGGCAGAAACCCCCACTTACAGGGGCAGAAACCCATTCTTTGACATTTCACCTGAGCAGATAAGGTTGGTTATGGCACAGAGAGGGTCTGGTCGGAAGCTGGAGGTCCCTGCTACCCTATCTGGTCGCTCTCATTCAGTCTGGCAATTGCCTTATCCATGCAACAGCCATGCTGGCACTATTGTTGTAAAAGGGCACTCACTCCAGCAGGCTGTGGTAGCACACGGCTGTAATCCCAGCACTCAGGAGCCTGAGGCAGGAGGATCACAGCAAGTTCGACGCCAGGCTGGGCTACACAGTGAGCCCAAGACCAACCTGAACTACACAGCAGGACCCTGTCTCTAAATAAATAAATAGGCAGTCACATCTATAATCCAAAAAGGCACATATGGCTTAAGAAAGAGTAGATCCAAAATCAAATGCAGACTCATTTTAGTATTTATCAAAAGTTAGAAATAGAATATAAAAAGCTGTCATTTGTTCAGAGGTCGCCGTGCTGCAGCTTTGTTCCAGGCTTCGCTTGGTTGAGAGTACATCCTTTCGTGGATATCCAGGTGAGGCACCCCAAACCCCTTCGCCCTCAGAAAATCCGGGCTCTTGCCAGGCTCCCTACCCGCCTTCCCGGGGAGCCCCTGGAATTGGAGTCTGCCTCTTGTCTGCCCAGGCTGCTGCAGTCAGCTCAGGCAGGATGACTTCAGGCTGCATCCTCCTCGGTCCTCTCTCTTGCAAGCATGCTTGCAGGGAAACTAGTCTCTGGTGGTTAGGGAGATTTGGGTTGGTTTGGTTTCATTTGGTTTTTTGCAGTGCTAGGATATGAACCTAAGGTTGCAAGCGTGCTAGTCAAGCACTCTATCCCTGAGTTACATCCCAATCCCTTTTTATTTTATTTTGAGACAGGGTCTCACTAATTTCCTAGGCTGACCTTGAATTTGTGATCCTCCTACCTCAGTTTCCTGAGTAGCTGAGATTGCTGATGTTTTATGCATGTATCACTGTGCCTAGCTTTCAACAAGGCTTTAAGAAGGCTTGGAGATAAGAGAACGAAGTTAAAAACAAGAAAAAACAGTGCCTATACCTGACTTCATTCATTCATTCGTTCATTCATTCATCCAAGTATGTGTTTGTTCCCATCTAGACCTGCAAGGACAGCAGGGAGCAGTGCAGCTTTGAAGGGGCTGCGAGCTCAGCCTCGGCTTTACGCCAGCCGTGCTTTTCCCCTTGGCCCTAAGCTTGCAGCCCTGCTGTGGGGACTCCCTGGCCCCTCTCAAGGGGTGTGCTTAGGAGCCTGGCCCCAAGCCAACAGAATCCTACCCCAGGCCATGAGAACAGTGACTTCTTTTTAATGCATGTGGTCGCTAAGTCCAACCTAGAATAACAGCACTCACAGGTAATGGTTATTGAGTATTCAGTATCAGAAATGAATCTTGCCAAATTAACTCATTTAATCTTCATCACCCTAGAGGAAAGGTGATATTATTATTTCCCTTTTTATCCACTGGAAAAACAAGACACAGAAACTTAAGTAACTTGCCCAAGGTCATGACACCATTAAGGAAGAGAGCCAAGATTTCGGGCTACCAGGCCTTAGAGTTCATGTTTTTAATCACTGTGCAAAGCCACTTTACACAATCTACTAAGAATTAGTTCTACAGGTACTTAGAGGAATGTTCACAGCATTAGTGCTTCTAATCACCAAGTAGTTAGTAATGAGCAGAAGGTGGCTTAATATGTAAGAAAATATCTGTACATTTAAACATTGTGCAGCTATTGAACAGTAGAACATAGCAACTCCAGGTATAACATTACATGTCACACATGCTAATTAAGGATGTGTGTGTAGACTCCCCTTTGGAAGAAATCATTAAATTAATGGTGACAGAACTCTATTAAAAGTATTCTAACATATAAGAATACTCAACAAATTCCTATGAAACAAAAAGCAGATAAAATATTACCAATTAATGAAAAAGATCAGAAAGATGGCAGGCTAAGCAGAACTCACAGAAGCTCTTGACTTGGACGGCAGCAATGAAACCTAAGAGTAGGTCTGGAAATAGGATTAACAGAGGTTCTGGTTATGGAAGTTAAAATTTCCTAGACTCTTGTCTACATATGACAGTTACAAACTCCCCCAAAAAACAATATTAAGATGTGGGGGTCAATCATCTAAAACTACCTCATGAGCTGTCTAATGAACTAGTGAGGGCAGCTAGTGTGTGGACATGGGTCTAAGAGTAAAGATCCTGGCAGACAGGGAGGATACCACTTGGTTACAGCCTGAAGTAACAGGTAGTTCTCCACCTGCCACCTTACAGTGAATTCATCAGTTGTCAAATCTGAGTACCACCTGCCCTAAGGGATAGGATATAAGGGACAGAAAGAGTCACTGCTTGTTGCTTGCTGCTTGCTGCCTTGCTCCCTATGGTAACTGTTTCTCCTCTGTGATGCCCTCTGCCAGGCCACCCTGCCTTGGAGCGAGCCAATTATAGCAGAAACCTTTTCAAACTGTGTGCCAAATAAACTTTCCCTCCTTTAACTTTTAGTGTCAGGTATTTTGTCTCAGCAACAAGAAAAGTAACTAAGACATATAGGGTGGCTATTTATTATTCTTGGTACCTAGTATCCTTTCTTCTTTCTGCTGATTTCCTTTTGGGGAATTCCTTCTATGATTAGGCTGAGGATCCTGCTTTCCGACGGAAATGGAGCCGAGCCACAGGGTTAGGTACCCAGCATGCCCAGAATCCCCACTCACAGTCTCTGCTTCAGGATGAACATGGGAACAAGTTGTTCCAAGCAGAATAAATTCCACAATTTGATCACTGGGAAAATCTTTCTCTTCCTTCCACTGAATTTATTGGATTTAAACCTGAGAAAGTAAGAGGATGAAGCAGGTACTAACGTCTTGCCTCTTCTGGAGGAGAGCTCAGCCAATTGAGCCATCAGAAACCAGACTCCAAGAGCTGGAGAAAGAGAATATGTCCTGTTAATACTGTTAGATGAAGCTTTACCTGAGGCTAGATCCATGGTTTCCCTTTGTTGCTTGTGATGTGAGGGGTAAATTTCTTTTTCTGCTTTTTGGTTTTGAGTCTTCTATCACTTGCTACCATGAATGCTGTCTTAGTTACTTTTCTCATTGCTGAGACAAAATACACAACAACTAAAGTTGAAAGAGGAAGAGTTTCTTTGGCTTACAGTTCACAGAGGTTTCAGTCCATAATCGGCTGGCTCCAAGACAGAGGAGAGACAGTTTATGGTGGTCGAAGGGAGCAAAGCAACAAGCGAACTTTATAGCATCTTTCTGCCCCTTTTATACTACTCAGACTACTTCAGACAGGTAGCACTCACACCCTTAATCCTACTGCCCTTGAGCCTGGCATTGCATCATGAATCAATTCCAGCATCACACACTCTAGATCCAGCCACCTCTGAAAAAGCCTATGACCACATGTGGCTTTGCAGGGACATTCAGACACAAACCATAAGATGTGCTAACCAACACAGGAAGCACTTGTATCAGCAGATCATGGAAGACATCATTATGATCACAGAACAGAGTGAAAATATTGCTACCTTAACAATGGCAGAAGAAAGGGAGAGTTGGGAGATCCTGAAAGATGCAAAGGTTCTTGTAGAAGGAGTGACTGAAGAAGAAGGGAGGCCGTGGTTTGCAAAATCAAAAGATGTTCCCTCTGCTTGATATTAAGAGAAAGAGTCTTAAGAATGGTACTTGAGGTTGCAGAGGTGACCAGGGAGAAACTGCAGCCATGTTGGGAGGAGACGGAGTGGAATAAGGAGTTTTGTGCTCAGCTACCTGATTCTAAACCCAACAGACAGTATCTAAAGTTGATAGATAGTAAACATGTTAGTGAAATGCATCTTCATCTGTCATACAGTAATACCAGCAGATAATATTTTAAGTTGATAATTTAAGAAACAGGAATATAAATGTAT